CGGCCACAGCTTACCAAAACACGTTAAAAAAACTTTTTGGTACCCTGCTCGACATAAAGGGGACAAATCAAGGACTGGTCGGCCCGGAGTGCATGCACGTTGCTATATAAGTGCAAATCTTGATCGCGACGTTGAAGCCCCTTTTTATAAAAGGTCTTCAGCAACCCATGCTTGCCCTAAAACGCGACTATGCTTGTCTGATGGGATCGGGTGGTCAGGCTCGCCGACTTGGTTTAATGCAGGTCATCGTATCCCAATTCGTGGATCGATGCTCATGATGTCCATTACTGGATTGTCTGGTCCAGACTCGATTATTTACAGACTGCCGTCACATATCTGGAATATTGCTGGGTGCGGCGTTAAACAACAAACATAAAGCCTATTTCACCTCACCTTATAACAAGGGATGTGCTAATAAAATGTAACAAAAATGCATATGAAACCCACTCAAATATTCTTATATCAATTTCTGAAACATTGTTAAATTCACGAGTACATGGAATCTTACAAATTGTGCCTATCTTTGTTCTCTACATGACCAATGTTCTGTGCTGCAGTACGGTCAGCGCCTACACCTCCAACGGAACACGCCTCGGCAAACTCGACTGGATGCCACTGACACGTGACCAGAAAAAGATTGTCCGCATCAACCCTCTGTGAGATGACGGGATGATAAACACACGCTCACGTTCAGTCGGGGCAGTGCTCAGAGCTGCACGATGGACCAACACTTTGTGAAGAACACAGACTGTGTTTGTAAAGTACTGGAATAAAATACGTCATACGTGTGTTGTGTTGTGTATTATATTCCGTTTGTCACCAACTACGAATGCAGAACGAGTGCAGTACGAGATGCACCTTGAGAAAGTCCCATGTCAAATATTCTTTCTCTCTGCATTAACCCGCCGTGATAATGCTGGAATATTGCTGAAAGCGGCGTAAAACCATTATCACTCATTAATACCTTATCTAGCGGTTAATGGAATTAAGGGACCGACCATTTGATATTCTTCTATTTAAATCTATGAGCCTTATTATTTTAAAGACAAACACCTTGTTACAATGTATTTTTGTGGTAGGCAATTATACTCCTAAAAAAAGAAACGCAAAGCCAGATGTGTGTGAGGTAGGACAATACATTTATACGAGGAACCGTACCAGGTATTGAGCCAAAATGTTGTGGAGAGAACACTTGGTGATTGTAGTCATCTCGGTTATCGGTACATAGGAAAAGTCCAAAGCGAAGGTCAGCTACGACCAATAACGCATATGTCCCCCGTTGGAATCGACAGCGGCCTGACATCTGCGCATGGAAGAGACGAGTATGCGAATCAAATCCTGGGAATGGTAGCCGACTCAGCCTGCAACGTAAAAAACAACTGCTGCAACGTCTGAGGTTGTAGTTGACGTCGGCGTAGCCATCTATCCTTTTCATCCCACAGGTGCTCTATCGTGTTCAAATCCGGGGATCTGGAGGGCCAGGGGAGAACATCAACGGTGTTGTTGTGTAGACAGGCTCTTGTGATCCGTGCTGTATGCGGTCGAGCGTTGTCCTGCTGGAATACACAGTTGCCGTTGGCTGCAATTGGGTGGACGGGTGGTAGGAGAATTTCATTGATGTATCGTTGAGCTGTAAGATTGCCTTGGACATGGACCTAAACGCGACCCCCACCAAACCTGTCCACTTCCTGTTTTCGGCGTAACGTTCTCCCGACGTGTGTAGACCCGTGCCCTTCCATCCCCTCGACGGAGGAGAAATCTTGATTGATCGCTAAACCAGACATCTCTCCATGGCAGCTGAGGCAGTACCCTGTGTTGACGACATCAATGCAGTCGTTGTTGACGATGTTGTCGACTCAATGTGACGCGTCGAACTTGACGTCTTGCTCGTAGACCTTCTGCCCTTAAACGGTTTCGTACGATCTGGTCAGAGATTCTGCGCAGTCAGGGATGCGGTTGAGGTAGCTGTGGTCGTCCTTTCACGTAGGTGGCGCAGTCGGATGTAGCGATCTTGGGCGGGGGATGGTTACTCATGGTCGTCCCGAGCTTGGCCGATCACGTGTTGACCAATGTTGTTGAAACCGATCCCATTGCCTTGTGATGGTGCTGGGCGCTACATTGAAAACCCTGGCTACAGCTGATCGGGATTCCCCATGACGTTGCTTCTTTGCACTTTTGTTAATCTTGGCATGTTGTTGAACTGCCACTGTTCGATTAACGCAAATGCCAGGCAATCAAAAACCCTGCACTTAATTCCGGTCATAGTGCTGCTGCAAGTGCACTGGGTGCGTTTTTCCGAATCGTACGTGTTTTCCGCCTAATGGTTCGCATGTCCTTGTTGTGATCATTTTGATCCGGGAAAGTTAACACTGACACTATAACACATTAAACCTCTTCATTTTACACCTCTTGGTCCGCTATTTTGCTTTTATGGCCAAAAATATCCGTTTTGCGTATTTTTTTGTAGAGTATATTTCTTTCAACACCCAGAAGCATAATTATTTTTTTCCTGAATTTTCGGGGACAATTTCTTATTTTCGATATGCAGCCTGTAAGGAACACGAGGTTTCTATCCAGAATTTGCATATAAAATAGAAAAACAAAATATTTAGATTTACCCATTGAGGGCCATTTGCAGTCCAGTCCAGATCCACACAGTAGGGATCGATGACATGCATCAACCAAGTCAGCGAGCCTGACCACCAAAGTTTAAGTTATTTTCGGGTATACCCTACATTTTGTAAGAGTAGATATCTGGGTAACAATTGACTTTGCATGAGTTTGTGACAGGTGCCAAGGGTTGAGCAGGATACGATCACCTTTTCGCGAACAAGTGGTGTCACTATTTCATAGTGATTAATAAATAAATGCTCATGATAAAGTCGGAATAGTAAAATCGACTGCTTTTAGCAGAGATTTCTTATGGACATGGAAAATCGTTTTTGCCGTGTTCAACAATTTATTGCGTAAAGAGTATAGATGGTAACTTATGCACCACAGGTGGTGTACAAATGGGGTACCTATATGTGAACCGTATATTCTGATAAAACTACACCAATGTGTTTGTATACTTAGATGTATGTTATATTGATACATGTTAAAACTTTTAAACCTCAAGCTTCGACATTCTGACTGAGTTAACCGAGTTAATGGACTGCTTTGGGCAGAAATTTCTTATGGTTATGGCAACATTAATGGTTGTGATGCGTTTATGGAGGTAAGTCAGTGTTTCTACATAATTATGTTATTATTAATTGTAAGATTGGTGGAAATGTACAAACTAAAATTTGAGCAAACCAACAAGGTGATTGAATTACTTGTATCATACATCCGGGGACGCCAGGACTGCGATAGGATCAAGGACTTGTACCCTTTAATCTAGAGGTCGTACATCGTTGTCAATTCAAAATGACCATGTACATGGTAAAAAAACATGCATCGACATGAAACGTCAAAAATTCACGAAAACAAATTTATTGTCCAAGAAAACAACTCTCAGTAGCGCGTATGTGAAATAAACAACACCCGCGAAGATCCGGGGTAGAATATGTCTTCAGCAACCCATGCTTACCGTAAAAGGCGACTGGGCTTGTCGTAAGAGGCGACTAACGGGATCGGATACTCATGATGTTAATCACTGGATTGTCTGGTCCAGACTCGACTATTTACAGACCGCCGTCATATAGCTGGAATGTTGCTGAGTGCGGCGTTAAACAACAAACAAACAAACATAAACAGAAAACAAATGTTACGTCCCATTTTAATCACACACAAGAGTGACCTCCCCTTCACCGAATCTGACATTGTTTCTGGATGGTTGCCAAGGGAAAATGTCCCACTCTTCAGTAAAAGCATTGCCGAGTTCCTGTAGAGTTGCCGGAAGGACGGGGCGTTGTGAGAGGGCGATCTGCAGCTCGTACCACATGTGTTCGATAGGGTTTAGGTCTGGTGACCGGGCTGGCCATTCTGTGCGGACAGTGATACACTGTCCACCACCTGATTTGTTTCGTTGGGAAGCTGATCAAAAGGTCTCGCATCGATTCCATGCCCTGCTGATCACACATTGTCTGAGAACCGTGAACATCCGCGGTAGAATAGGTCTTCAGCAATCCATTCTTGCCGTAAAAGGCGACCATGCTTGTCTAAGCGGCGACTAACGGGGTCAGGTGGTCAGGCTCGCTGACTTGGTTGATGCATGTCATCGTTTCCAATTTGCGTGGATCGATGCTCATGATGCTCAGTCATATAGCTGGGATATTGCTGAGTGCGGCCTAAAACAACCAACCAACACATTGGCTGACACCAACGACGTTTGCAACGTGACTCTTGTGTTGACCGAGTTTCAAGCATGCATATCCATCTGCCAAATTCGGTCGTTAAATGATGGTACTTGTTGTTACACTGCCTGGCACTCGGCATTAAGGGGCTAAAACAAGGACTGGTCGGCTCGGAGTCAGTATACTCTGTCTGAGTGTGGTATTCTAAACTGCGTCAAGGTATCTCAGTGGGCTAGCACCATAAATCGTCATCAGTCCGGACCAGTACAAGCAGCCACACACACGTACGTGCATGCACGTCGCTATATATGTGCAATAATCTTAAAAGCTTGGACGCGACGTTCAACCCCATTTCAACTCACACACCTTGTGCACATCATACCCTTAATAACACGCCTCTATCCGTTCATCATGGAAATAAAGTCCTATAGGGGTTTCCAAATAAGTGTACCGGAGCATTTAAATCTTTATTTATTGGATGATATTCGTATATAATCAAAACTTGATCCTTAGAAACTTTGAGTAGTATATTAACTTTGTAATGGAATCTTAACATGGCACTTTTTCCATCGTTCATGAACGACATCTTTTTCATCTTCTTGGGGTCCACCAACCAAAATAAACTTACATCTCATCGGTGAACTATGGAAGATACCTGAACAGAACAAGACAACGAGATTTTGGGGTACACGTGTAGATGTATTTATTGAAACAAACGCAGGCACAAGTATCCCTTAACCCGGGCCTCTTGCTTAGGGGCGGAGGTTTTCCATATTCAAGTACACGCCATCTTTACTGCGCAGAATGAGCGAACTCTCTGGCTGCGCCGGTCTCCCAGGGGTGATGCTAAGCCGGAAGTGACGTAATATCATAGCTATCACGAGCTTGAATTGCAGCATGGCGAAGGACTTCCCCACACATCGCCTGGAAAAATATTGTAAAAATATTAATAACAGTAATAAACTAACCTGGTATATATACACATCAGCCTGGGAGCTTATAAATTCATTAAACCGCTACAAGTTTATGGTGCATGCGTGGCTCAGTCGTTTAAGGCGCCGCAATTCGCTGTGCAAACCTACGTCCCTCAGGTACGCCAGAAACCTATGATCGTGGGTTCGAATCCCGGTTCGCCCCGATTATGTTTCTGCTCGTGGGCTTCACCAATGTGGTAAACTTCGGGTTTTCCTCCAAGATTAAGCTGACACGCCGTGACATAACTTGAATACTATTCAAGCTGTGTTAAACCCAGCTCACTCACACACCACTACTGTGTTTACATATGCTAGGACCCGTGAAACGGGTTAGAATTGGTCCCCAGCATTTTGACAAAATCCCAAACTACCAAAAGGCACCAGTTCACCACTAGACGTATCAATGTGCCAAGTTTGGTTAAGATGTCTCTCATGGTTTGTTAGTTCTGCTCCGGAAACGAAACGTGACGGACCCCATTCCTATATCCCCTTCCACTTCGTGGCTTGCGAAGATGTAAATACGAAATAACAAAACAACTGGAAAAGTACTAGTCTGGATTTGCTAGTTTGATCTCAGTGCTCAATACAAAATGTACTTTACAGGAGGTAATTAGTAGGCACTTTCAACATTCAAAAATAAAACTAAGTACAAATTGACATGCCAGAAACAGGTATAGGCATTATGCAAATTAGCCTGGAAAAAAAGTTATCAAAACAACAATAAAAATAACAGCTATGTTTATGTACATAATAATAATGACATGTAAGTTGTTTGAGAAGGGAATATGTTGCTTTTACGTTCTGATATTTTGACGATGATTCACTATCCCACAATGCCACTCACAAACCACTGACAAATAACATGCACGTGAGTTTCAAGCACCTGTTTTCACATGTCGTCAAGGTGTCGTAGGTCATGGACATTCACCTTGATCTACTTACACCTGGTTATGCTCAGTTTCACAATAGTCTGTTTTGTTCATATTTTTACACACTTTTACGTGTAAAAAGACATAAAAACCTTTGATACGCTGTATTTGTGACATAGTTGTTTGAGTATTTATATATTATGTATATAAACTGCATTTATTTAAAATCTGAGATCGAAAAAACAGGGTTTTTTCATTTCCGTGAGTACTTTATTACCTGGGTCCCATGGAAAAGGTCAGGAAGAAGTCTGATGCCCCCATGTCCTCGTTTGAAGAACGGTAAGGATCAAACACCTGAAATAAGAATTTCACCTGCGGTTTAACAACTATCATCTGTGTACAGTGAAACCTCATTAATCCGGACGGTTCAGTTCTTAGTGAAATCGTCCGGATTAACATATGTTCGGATTAACGAACCACTGGTAATGACCTTGGAATATCTGCAGACGTTCCGAACGGTAACACTGTGGATAGCCGTGTATCCAGATTAACGAGGTTTCACTGAATAGATCAAAGTGTATAATGATACTGCCTATGTTTTTTTGACACTGTGAAAACATTATTGTCTGGAGCAGAAGCGTAAGCAATTCACATGAGGCATTAATAACTTATTAACATGATTGACGGGGGCACGGGTGTCCCAGTCATCTAAGGCGCCGCGTTTCGCTGTGCAGAGTTGCGTCCCTTGGACACGCCAGAAACCTATTATTGTGGGTTCGAATCCTGGTTCGCCCCAATTATGTTTCTACATTTGTCAGCACCGTACCCGTGCTCGTGGGTTTCACCGAAGTGGTAAACGTCTGAGACCTGCATCACTTCGGGCTTTCCTCCCACATTAAGCTGACACGCCACGATATAACTGGAATACTGTTAAAAGCGGCGTTAAACCCAACTCACTCACTCAACGGTGAATTATACCCAATCATGTGTTTTTTATACATATAATTACGTTTGTCTCAGTTTTCGAGTGAAGTACGAGTTTGCCTGGAGAAAGTCACATTACATTTCTGTGTCTTTCACCTTCCAGTACATTTCCGGTTTCGCTATAAATCCTGCAAAGAACAGGCAGGTTCCTAGGCAGAGGGGCAGTCGGGTAGCTTAATGGTTAAAGCGTTCGCTCTTCACGCCAAATACCCGGGTTCGATTCCCGACATGGGTACATTGTGTGAAGCCCTTTTTTGGTGTCCCCTGCCGTGATATTGCTGGAATATTGCTAAAAGCGGCGTAAAACCATATTCACTCACTCCTAGGCAGAATTTGAATTTAAAGTTTAGAAAAATAAAATCTCTAGATTTAGCCTCTAGGGTTCATTTTAAGTGCAGTTAAACATCAGACGTTCTTTAACAGGCTTCTTGTTGCGCATATAAACATAATCTCCTGTACACATTTTATCATTACATTAATAAAAATGTAAAATAAAACTTTTAATTATCAACATATTTTAAGTTAACTTTAGACTGTAGACCAGTTCTCTTGCTGTGCAGCGAGTGTCATGAAATAATCGCGTATTTATCTTAGATAAGTGCACTGTACGTTGGGCCCTTGCACAAATCAGTCCTTGTCACAACCCAACTATTCCCAAGCACTTGATTGGCTTATAATAAATTATGTACAGCCAGCCTTCTAGAAATTGTCAGCTCACGAAACTGCTCGAATGAGGTAGTCCCGGAGCTCTCTATACCGGGAGGCCGCGCTGATGTAGGAACTGGCGCGAGCATGCCACTAAATGAAAAGCTAGCTACATTCTAGCTATTTGGCGCCGCTGACAATCATCAGGAATAAATATATACTGCTAACATAACACAAACGGCTGCGTGAGTTGCAATTTAACATCGCATCGGCAACCAATTAGCGTAGTGGTAGTAGTAAAGATCCGGGATAGAATAGAAAAGTAGTAGTCGTAGTAGTTGTAGTAGTAGTAGTAGTAGTAGTAGTAGTAGTAGTAGTAGTAGTAGTAGTAGTAGTAGTAGTAGTAGTGGCAGTAATAATGATAAAAATAATTATACATTTATTTGTCTGATGATCCTCTTGTGAAGCATATCAAGACTCATGATGAAAACAAGGCATTCCACAGTTTTCTAAAACGAGCCATGGATGTGGGACATAATCTCAATGTTGGTGTTGATTTTGTTGATGGTTCTGTATTGTTTGACGGTACAGAAATGAGTGTCAACCAAGCGAAGTGCCATATCTAATCGGGGTTCGATCACCGGCCGCGCCATACCAAAAGACGTTTAAAGATGGTACCTGTTGTACCCTGTCTGGCGCTCGGTATAAATGGGCTAAAACAAGGACTCGTCTGCTCGGAGTCAGTATACTGTGTCTGAGTGGGGTATCCATGTTAAACTTTGGCATGGTGGGCGAGCACTATAAATCAGCATCAGTCCGGACTAGTACAAGCAGCCACACACACACACACACACACACACACACACACACACACACACACACACACAGAGAGAGAAACACACACACACACAGAAACATACACACACACAAACACTCACACACACATTCAAACACACACACAAACACACACATAAACACACACATACACACATACACACACACAAACACTCACACACACATAAACACACACAAACACACACACAAACATACACACACACAAACAAACACACGCGCACACGCATACACACACACACACACACACACACACACACACACATACACAAACACACAAACACAAACACACGCATGCATGCACGTCGCTATATAAGAGCAATAATCTTGGACGAGACGTTAAACCCCACTTCACCCCACCCATCTTGAGTGAGGTGTTAAAATGGAAAATCAAATACTAGAAGTATCACTTGGAGACCTATATTACTGCTTTTAGCTATTTGTTTTGTTGGGTTCAATGTAAAATTCCCACTTCTGAATGTACACCTTGTTCGGTGGCACTGTACCACAACGACTTTGATCATTGCACATGATACTGATAACTCGATTGTCTGGTCCAGACCAGATTGTCATCATGCCGCTGTCGTATGGCAGGAGTATTGGTGGGTCATGCATTAAGTTGGTTTGGTTGGTTGGTTTGTTGTTTAACGCCACCCTCAGCAATATTCAAGCTGAATGACGGCGGTCTGTAAATAATCGATCCTGGACCCGACAATCCAGTGATTAATATCATGAGCATCGATCCACGCATTTGGGATCGATCACATGTATCAACCAAGTCAGCGAGCCTGACCACTCGATCCCGATAGTCGCCTCTTACGACAAGCATAGTCGCCTTTTACGACAAGCATGGGTTGCTGAAGACCTATTCTACAGCGGATCTTCACGGGTAACAAACAGTTACTTTTTCATGAAGATGGTGTGAGTGGTGGTAGTTACCAGTAGAGCAGGACACGGTTACCCTTTTCGCAAACACCTGGTGCCATCAATGATTTTCACATTCGTGACCAATTCGTGTTGTTCCGGGACAAGCCAAATAGCGACTCGTGCCCAATATCATGGCCATTTTTGCGACCGGGTTCCGTCTCAGCGCAAACGGGCATACCTGAAACAATTGTCAACTCGTTGCGTAATGGTTCACATATATATCCCCATATATTATATTATATATTTCAGATGCAATTTAAAGCATATCTGGACATGCGGAATTATACAGTATGATTGAACACATTTAACTGTGTCTTGGGTATATTTTTAGATCAAAAAGTTATTTCTGAGGGATTCTTTGATGAAGAACTTGAAATCATACGCGCATTCTGATTGGTTTGTCGTATTTTCGGACATAACTTTCATCAATAGGGGGACGAGACTTCTTGCAGGTTACGGAAAGGGGCGAGTGGTGACGAATGTGATTTTCAGTGTTCGATTCTAAATATAATTTTCATCACTATTTTGTCTTTTACGCCCACTGCCATATGTGTAGGCAGTTGATCGAGACTATTACTGTCCGGCGTTGACTTCACATCAGCCTCCATTATATCCTATCAAGCCATCAGTTCATGACACGATATTTGTGAACTAGGACCAATGTGTTTTTGTAAAGGTTAGAAAAGGTTGGTAACTTGGCAGACAAAAACGTCTTGCGCAACCGGCCGGATGTAGTGTAAAGCGTATGTTCTGTCACGATATATGATGATAAACCTACAGAATTCTTTTTCAAATCATTAGAGGTATTTTATTTTCATATTTCATAGACCTTAATTTTTCATTTGAAAGCTCATGCTTCGGCGTTCATATTAAAATACATGTACATGTATAACAGTGTACCTAAGAATATATATATATATATATATATATATATATATATATATATATATATATATATATAGACTACTATTCCGGTGTGCGTTTTCAATATCAGATTCGGTGAAGGGGAGGTCACTCTCGTTGTGTGTTTTAAAATGGCACATACCATTTGTTTTCTGTTAATGTTGTTCTCCTCGGGTTTCCCTGCAATTCCTGGGGGCGCTGGCGGCCCAGTCGTCTAAGGTGCCGCGATTCGCTGTGCAGAGTTGCGTCCCTTGGACACGCCAGAAACCTATGATTGTGGTTCGAATCCCGGTTCGCCCCGATTATGTTTCTAGGTTTGTCAGCACCATCCCCGTGCTCGTGGGTTTCACCGAAGTGGTAAACGTCTGAGACCTGCATCGCTTCGGGCTTTCCTCCCACATTAAGCTGACACATCATCATATAACTGGAATACTTTTAAAAGCGGCGTTAAACCCAACTCACTCACTCACTCACTCACTCACCCACTCACTCACTCACTCACTGCAATTCCACGAAGCAGTACGTTCGGTTTGCGAGAGCACTGTTCTATCTTGTCCAAATCTTTCTCTTGACAACTTCTGGAATCTGTGTGTAAGATGGCGCTCTGATGGGGACAATCTATCTTCCATAGTGTCTACACGTTCAGTAAGAGCATTCATATTCAATCGCAGAATCTGTTGCTGATTTTTCCTTTTTTCAAGGGCCCACTGGCACAAAGCGATCTTAGCGCTTTGACTGTTGTAAGCCGAAGTTAAAGTATGGTAGTTACGATCATCCTAAGGCTAAGATCGCTTTGTGAAAGTGAGCATACATTATTTTGTATGACAAGAGGGATGACTTCAACTTTAAATGGTCAAATTTCCCTTCATGTCGAACACTATTCCAGCAGCTCCAGCCTTTGGCGTTTACATTTCATTCCTTTTGAGTAACAATCAAACATGCTTTTTCTTAGTTTTGAAAGAGCGTCATAAGATTCTTGCTCAGGAGTTGTTTCAAGGTGACTGCATTTAAGGCCTCAGTGAAGCTTTCAAAACGTGTTATGGTAAATACGTGAAGTACAATTCAAAATTTGATGTAACAGTGAAACAAATGCAAATTCCCTATTTTGACGTTACCATAGGTAGCCGGGTTTTCTCACGTAATTCCCTGGCCTTTACATGTGTTTATGACTAGTTTTTGAAGTTTTTTAATCAGATTCAGCTAAGCAGGTATTCTGAATTATACCATGACATTGAAGAATGCTTGATTCTGATTGGTTAAAAAGAGGTTTCCTTTTTTGCTACGGAAAACCCTTACAAAAACAGTAAGCCTTTTCACACAAAAAACGTGCGCATGAATACATCGATAGCCTACATATCAATTCATAAAAAATGGCTGCCGATTGATCACCACTTGGAATTGTAAAACGTATCGATATTTCCTCTATTACACGCTTGGTCTCTAACACAAGCCAGGTCTCTAATACATGCCAAGTCAATGGCTCTCGCGAAATAAATAGACGGCCTAGCGTCTAATAGAGGAAATACGGTAGTTTGATATCGGATGTTTTTAGCGACGCTATATTGTTCTAGGCCGTAATCCTGACTGCTTCGGTGATGAGATTACAAGACTCTACGAAGGCATATCTTTTTGCATACAAATGGCATGTTTATGAAACTGTCAGGGACATAATGGAAGCCAAAAGACTCGGAATAGGTAATTTTGATCGTCATTGAAACAACCGACAATGAAAGTAAAATATAACATTATGAAAATGTGTTGGAAGAATTTTCATTTATGACAACATGTTGTGTACAAACCTTTTTGTGTTTGATATCCATTGCCATCTGCGTCAACCACCACCGTAAGGATTTGGCAGGAGGGGATTTGAGAATCGTCCCCTCGAATGGCCACGAAAACAATATCCCGACATCACTGAAGTCACAGCTTGTCAAACTTGATGACATTCATTTCAGAACACGCACAATCAAGAAAATCATACACAAACCACTATTTCTGGGCCACAACAGTCGCATTGCTTTTACAAACATGCTTTGAATCCGTGAAATCTTGAAATTGACAGGTCAAATCATGCAGATTCCTCGTGTCAACTTAGCTGGCTCTTCTTCAGCCTACAAAGCGGCTGTTTAGTCATACTCAACGTTTATCTCCTAAATGTCATATGTTATTTGGTCACTATATAAAGGCTTAGTCTTGGAGATGGAAAGCTGCATCCGCGGATCGCACACTGAGTGAACAGTCAGTGGTAGAATTACCTACCCTTACACTAGTGACCTCCTTTTTGACAACGTTGAGACTCTATCATGGCCATATACGCATTCAATTATGTAGGAACAATATTTATTCTTCATCAATGAAATTACGAACATTGGAAACGTCACACAGAAGGGTGTAAGCAAGATCGATGATGCACTATATATATTTTTTACTTATATTTCGCACTTTATTGTGGAAGGCCTTTACCCAATCAGACACCCATGATATACTCACTGGGAGGAGTTGTCCCCTTGGCAATCTCCAATGTCAATTAGCTGATGCTGAAATATACAATCGCAGGAACTCCAGTGCAGATATCACTCACTAGGGTAGTAGTTAAACGAGTGAGTGAGTGAGTGAGTGAGTGGTTTTACACAGCTTTTAGCAATATTCCAGCAATATCACGGCGGGGGACACCAGAAATGGGCTTCACACATTGTAGCCATGTCGGGAATCGAACCCGGGCCTTGGGCGTGACGAGCGAGCGGTTTGACCACTAGGCTACCCCACCACCACAGAAGTTTCTTTGTTTGTTGTTTAACGCCGAACTTTTGCTATCACCACTGTATTTATGTATTTGATATTGACCACTACCATAATATTACTTATTGGTCGGACTATGGTAATATTGTACTACCACTCTTCTGTGTAGAAATGTTGTAATTGCTGTGCGGTAATTTGCATTGATGTGTGTGTATGTTGTTTAACGCCACACTCAGCACTATTCCAGCTCTGATACGTCGTTCTGAAAAATATTCGAGTCTGGACCAGAGAATCCAGTGATTGACATCATGAGCATCGATCCACGAAATTGGGATACGATGACATGCATCAACCAAGTCAGCGACCCTGACCACCCGATCCCGTTAGTCACCTCTTACGAGAAACATTGTCGCCTATTACGACAAGCATGGGTTGCTGAAGACCTATTCTATCTGAGATCTTCACGGGTAACAAAGAGTTACTTTTTGATGAAGACGGTTTGAGTGGTGGTAGTTACCGGTAGAGCAGGACACCATTACCCTTTTCGCAAACACCTGGTGTCATCAATGATTTCAGTGTTCCATTCTCAATATACGACATTCTCTCTTACGACAAAAATAGTCGCCTTTTATGGTAAGCATTGGTTGCTGAAGACCTATTCTAACCCGGATCTTCACGTGTCCGCCCCAGGAGTAAAACGAATGAATTTGAAGGTGCTGTTGATGTTCATGATGTAAACTCTAAAATCTTATTCATATTGTAAGTCAATAGTTACAAATATTGCTCAGAATGTTCATGACTTATTGCTACTGCTGCTAAGTCACCATTTGGTGTCATACAATAGCTTACCTACACGTGAGCCATAGCAACACTGGTTCGGCAAACAATGTACGATCAGCAGAGGAAAGTATCATCAGGCTAAAACTGTTTTCCATAGAAATAGAACTTAGGAAATATACAGCGATTACTTATTAAGTGAATCTTACATAAGATATTTCCTGAAACAAATATCATCTACGTAGATGGTCGGTATGTAAATAATCGAGTCTGGAGAAGAGAATCCAGTGATTGACATCATGAGCTTCGATCCGTGCAATTGGGATCGATGACATGCATCAACCGAGCCTGACCACCCTATCCCGTTAGTCACCTCTTAGGACGCCTTTTATAGCAAGCATGGGTTGCTGAAGACCTATTCTACCCGGATCGTCATCTGGAGATGAGCCTGATGTCTTTTATATATATTCTTCGGTACACTGTTATACATGTACATGTATTTTAATATGAACGCCGAAGCATGAGCTTTCAAATGAAAAATTAAGGTTAATGAAATATGAAAATAAAATACCTCTAATGATTTGAAAAAGAATTCTGTAGGTTTATCATCATATATCGTGACAGAACATTCGCTTTACACTACATCCGGCCGGTTGCGCAAGACGTTTTTTGTGAAATAGGTTACCAACCTTGTCTAACCTTTACAAAACACTGTTCACAAATATCGGGTCATGAACTTATGGCTTGTTAGGATATAATGGAGGCTGATGTGAAGTCAACGCTAGACAGTAATCAGTAGAGGAAAGTTTCATTAGGCTAAACCTGTTTTCCATAGAAATGTGACCGCCTCTGTGGTCTAGTGGTAGAGCGTCCGCCCGGAGAGCGGGGTTCGATCCCCGGCCGCGTCATACCAAAAGACGAAGTTTAAAGATGGTACTTGTTGTTACCCTGTCTGGAGCTCGGTATTTAGGGGCTAAAACAAGGACTAGTCGGCTCGGAGTCAGTATACTGTGTCTGAGTGGGGTATTCATGTTAAACTGCTGCATGGATCTCAGTGAGCTAGCACTATAAATCGGCATCAGTCCGGACTAGTACAAGCAGCCACACAAACACACACACGTACATGCATGTCACTATGTAAGTGCAATAATCTTGGACGCGACGTTAAACCCCATTTCACCTCACCTCCCTCATAGAAATGTGATGTGATGTTGTTTATTCCGTAATGAGGCCACCGGCCCATTATACAAGTATATACACACTCAGAGATGTATTTGACAGAGGGCTAAAATGTTTGCCTTAAAATATACAATAGTGGACAGTATTACTACTTAGGATAATTAATGACATCTTTAAAATAACTATTGCGTTTCTTAAGTGCTAAGAAAATATATTTCCCTAGACTGTTAAGTAAAGGCGGATTCGAGCTTGAGAACAGCATTTTAAGTTTTTGCTGGTTTGGATGGACACAATGATACTTTGGTTAAATGCTGTCTCTTAAATCTGCATTGAATGGAGATTGGAGGCAGAAATGGTATTCTGATTCTACTATTAATACTATGCAAAATGGACAAAATCTTAAATTTCTGTTAATATTGTACTGTCGACCTATTTCTACCATTGAAGTATGACTAGAGCATCTACATTTAGCTAAAGCTTGAAGGAAGGTCATATTGTGAATACAAAAAATATAATCTTCCTAACCATATTCTATTTTAACATGTCTGTAAAAGTCTAACTTTGGAGAAGATGTAATATTGTCATTCCATATCTGAACATCAATATCTTAACAGCGTTTTACAAATTGATCAGTAGATAAATCAACATAGCTAACTCCTTGATGGAAACCAAAACCATACTTATATAACAAGTTTTTAACTTCAAGAAATAGAAATAGAACTTAGGAAATATACAGCGATTACTTATTAAAAGTGAATCTGAAACAAATATCATATACGTAGATGGTCGGTCTGTAAATGATCGAGTCTGGACAAGACAATCCAGTGATTGACATCATCAGCATCGATCCGAGGAATTGGGATCGATGACATGCATCAACCGAGCCTGACCACCCTATCCCGTTTGTCGCCTCTCAGGTCAAGCATAGCCGCCTTTTACGGCAAGCATGGGTTGCTGAAGACCTATTCTACCCCGGATCTTCAGGGGTCTTCGGTACGTGGGAATTAGAGTTCAGTGTTGTTCTGAATTAGAAAAAGTGCAAACGTTACACGACAGTAACAAATAAATTACAACTGGTGCTTTTTAACTCGCTTTCCTTACAAAGTAGACAAAATTTTATGGATTAATTATGGACAATTTTACGGTATAAGGATCAAAACCGAAACGTCGCTTTTTACAGTATTAAAGAAGTTGTTATCCATAAAAGTGCGTCTACCTTGTCATCCGTCAACTACTAAGTAATGCCTATCAAACAATTCGCTTTCCTCACACTAGTGAGTGAGTGAGTTTGGTTTAACGCCGCTTTTAACAGTATTACAGTCATATCATGGTGTGTCAGCCTAATGTGGGAGGAAAGCCCGAAGTGATTCAGGTCTCAGACGTTTACCACTTCGGTGAAACCCACGAGCACGGGTATGGTGCTGACAAACCTAGAAACAAAATCGGGGCGAACCGGGATTCGAACACACAACCATAGGTTCCTGGCGTGCCCAGCGAATCGCCCCCCCCCCCCCCCCCCCCCCTTACTCTAGTATTTAAATCAGTACATAAAGGGGACTCGTTTATAAATCTACACGACCTATAAGATGTAACCTAATTTTTGCCCTTTAACACCATATGACATTTTGTGATTAGGTTTAATTTCTATTAAGTCCACGGGCGTGGGAGGCTGGTCCGATATAAATGAGAGCGGGTGAGAGTGGAGTTGTGGAGTTGCCACGTCCAGCAGACATCATGACGTCGGGTGTCCTCGTGGTCGTCGCCGTCCTGGTGCTCGGAGGAGTGAGGGGGCAGGAGGAAGGTCTGTATCACAGCACACTATTGCATTTGGTTCTTTCTTTGAACCCGTATTTTAAACAGACACTCTGTAACAAGGAAACATTATTGAACATGGGTGTAATAGCATTACACCATGATGATTTCTGATTGCATTTTAGTTGAGTGTTGTTTTTGTACAATAATCATCAAAGTAAGCTTTTCTTTCGATCATATCATAATGATCTCCCATTATGTATTCTTAACAAACTGATCACAGCACATGTATGACCCGTCTGAAACACATTTTTTAATGTATTTATTTATAACATTTTTATTGTTCTCAGAGTTGTAGAGTAAAACAGCATTCCGTCAAAAACATATTTCGGATTGCATAGAATGACATAATACATTAAAACAAATATTAAAGGTTTGGAAACATATTTCAAACCTTAAAGGTTGCAACACACAATCGGACTCAAACATAGCATGTATCAAAAGAGAGCTAAGAATCAAATGCTGAGAATAAAAGTCACCATGTTTTTGTTAAAGTTATTTTTGCCATCCTTTTTTATAGCAATACATTTCTCGACTGAATCAATTTTTTAAAGAAGTTTTAAAAGTATATCTATTTTCGGTTTGATACAAAAGCTACGAGATTTCGTTGT